AATCCAGTGATTGATATCATGAGCCTCGATCACGCAATTGGGATACGATGACATGCATCAACCAAGTCAATGAGCCTGACCACCCGATCCCATTAGTCGCTTATTTTGACAAGCATAGTCGCCCCTTACAGTAAGCATGGGCAGCTGAAGACCTATTCTCTACCCAGATCTTCACCTGTGTGTTTTACCTTTGCTGTCTAGACTACCAGGGAGACAACAAACAATGCCATATGCGATTACTTTTAGTGCCAAGACCTGTATACACACATCTGAAACTGTTACGGTACCACAATAATCCAGTCAGTCATTGTTCCGGTTGCTTACTGTGGGATTAATACAGGGGTCTTACATACACTACTTACAGGTTTCTCGGGTGTGCTTAATGGAGCAGGGTGCTTAATGATAATATGGTGAACAACAGATCTCTGATTCATGGAACCACAGGCATGATGGAAATGGAAATATTCAATCATAGTCAGGCATTTTCAAACACTTTAGGTACGGAATACCCTGCTCAAATGAATATTGGCAATCCAGTTTTGACAGTATCATTAATGACACAACAACTAGGAGAATATTACAAACTTCAGGCACTAGGCAATGCTGGGAGAGTATAAAAACTTTCCATTTTGCAATTAAGGACGGTGACATCATGTTTGTTGCTTCACTATGCAACAGATGTTGTCACAATCTAATACTATTCAATGGAGATACATAGGGCTATGTATTTGCAAGATTGTATTGCAATATATTGCAACACAGACATCTGTATTGCGATATGCATTGCCATATATAATAAATTTTGACAGTGATTGACACTGATTGTACATACTGAAAATAAATATAACTCAGCATGGTCAGTCACAGATACCATGGATACAGAGGCAATAACAACATGAGAGAAAAATCACTTCTGTGTTTCTTCAGTTTTGTCAATCAATTTCGAAGGGAAACATAATTTGTGAATGAATGTCTGTATATATCTATAGACTTTAGTTTGAACTAAACAAATGATCATGAAACTTGTTATATGTTTGTTTACCTAATATACCGAACATAGAAACATGTATCTTTTGAAAAGAGTATTATAGTATACCCATGTACCCATGTATGTGCTTTTGAACTAAGTCTTGTTAGTGTTTTCTTCAGGGTAATGTTTACATTTCTGCTTATTAAGCAGTTTTCCTTTGAGTATTACTATTAGTATTAGCATGATTGGTCTAAAGCCTCTCATTCATCATGTTGAAGAGTGCAAAGTTTTCATTATGCGATCTTTACTTCAGACAAGGAAACATAGAAATAACACAAACATTTCAGAAAAAGATGAAAAGATTGCAATAGTTGTCAATTTACTCAATGTCTCAATTATGATGATGATAATGATGACACCTATTCATGACAAAAAGGCTCTGATAGCCATGATAGCAATGCTTTCTGACCAAACAGCAGACATCAGCAGACTCAACAAATGACTCTTACATCACATCATATGTTCAAGAGATGAACATGATGAATCATGGACATAACTATCCTTGAATAAGGCTACTTCCTGATAACCAATCATCAGATCATTGGTTGATTCAGGCAAGGCAATCTGTTGGTCAGAGTCCCTCATTAAGCTTGTTAGGTAACATTACAAGAATGTAATCACACTGCTTACATTCTACAGCTCTGTAAGCATCGAAATGAAGGTCAGGAACATCTAATGGTAAAGTTCAGCCAAATATCCCATTTTGTATGCAATACACTTGCAGCTGTGCAGACCACAATTCTTTTAAATCACCCTTGATCATTCAGCGTATTATCATATCTCTATTGTAGTATGATTTACATAGCCTGGCCTCATATGCCACTAACATGATGAAGCTTCATAGATCTACGTTCAAAATAGCAGCTTTCTTTGAGCGAGCCCTCCATACATCTTCACAAAAATGGATACCATATTCGACATAATAAGCGCCCCGCGCTCTCAAAATTAGAAATAAGGGGTTCTTATTAGAATATTATTTTGGTGAAAAACAACAGAGTTGAAAGATCGTAAATTGCGTGGTTTATGCTGACAGCTTGAAATGTTTATATATGACAAAGATATTTTTCCAGAATATAATTTCCCACAATTAAGGATGCATATAACACACATATTATACACAAATAAATAAGTCTTGTGTACATTGATCAATTGGAAGGGGTGCTAATCATGCTAATTGGGATTGTTCACTAGCCAATATATTAGCAAATATTGTTGTCGGCGCTTATTACGTCAAATACGGTAATATTGTGAATCTTCCTTGAGGGCTGTAAGTCCTTATGCTACCAGGAGTTCCCAGTTGTATTTGAGACAGTATTTATTTTAATGGAACTTAGATCTGATATACATGATATATGCTGGATAACTGAGGACGCCATGAAATGGTCTAAGCAAGTGCAGGACATTGATTGATTCATAAATATATAAATCAATGGGACATATATGAATTCCATCACGTTCATCATTAATTCATCTCACACAAAAAGAAGCAAGGGTCTTGAGGGTAAAATAATTTCAATTGGCCACTGGAACTTAGCAGAGAGTCAACTGTGTAAATCTGTTTGGCCTGAGTGGAATTGATCAGTTGCCACTCAAATAGATAACTTTATTGACTTTTGTAGTTGTAACTTTTAGTTTTCTAATCTATCAGACATAAACTATTTTAACATTGACATCATGTTAATACCATTGTGTGCACATTTCAGACACAGAGTAATTTCAATGGATCAGACAACACAAAAATGTAACCAGACTTGCTATGATAATTAAATAGTGGTGTAACGAGACAGCGATACATTATTGTATTGCGATATGATGCACACTATGTTATACATTGATTTACAACCCCTGTATCTCAATACTTACAATGCATTACAAGTTATATTGGTGTAAAAACATTTAAATATTCACAGAAACTGTTCAACAACAGCTTCCACATATCCTCTTGTGTTTCCTGGTCAGCTATAAATAGCATAACATTCACAGTGCATTCTAGCCTCTATGTCTCTGACCTACAACAATACAATGTACAATGTCCCATCTTCAAATTCTGAAATTTAAAAACAAATCATTTGGTGTTGTGATTCACCTGTAAAAAGAGAGAATATCTATACGAATCATATCGAACCCAGAGTATCAGGATATGTATTGTAACGTGACCTCAGCGTATCATCACACCTCTATAAGACAAAACCATGATGTTGATTACTACCATTATAAAGAATCTTTGATGTCCAGATGCTTAAAGTAATTAATGAAATGTTACATACCAATACAGAACTATGAATATCCAGGGTTAGAAATTAAATTTTACTTTCACAAGTATGCAAAAATGATCTGCGATAGAGTTGACGTCTACATTATGGTAAAAGTGGAGTGAGTGAGTGAGTGAGTGAGTGAGTGAGTGAGTATGGTTTTACGCCGCTTTTAGCATGTTTAGCAATATTCCAGCAATATCACCGCAGGGGACACCAGAAATGGGCTTCACACACTGTACCCATGTCAGGAATCAAACCCGGATCTTCGGCGTGACGAGCGAACGCTTTAACCATGTTAACCACTAGGCTACCCGACCGCCCCGGTAAAAGTGGAAGTCCACAAGGAAGATAGTCATTGCTCATGTTGCTAGTCCTTCCTGAATTTACCAATCTCACACAAGCAGACTTATGTCAATTTCAAACACTAAGATCACGTTTTATCACTGAAATTAATATTCTGGTGCATCTGTGTATCATATTATCCAGACTTGATGATGGGCCTCAAACTTAATGAGTCATGTTTGGAGGCAAATATACCCATGGGGATTCCAGGTTAGAATAGGTCCCCAGCAACCTAGGGTGGTCATAAGAGATGATCAAATGGATTGAGTGTGTATAGGTTCTATGACTGGGTTTGATAGCATGTTCTTATACCCTGATGACATGGATCATTTTTCAAAATATCAAACACTGGTCAGCCATAGAAACTAACCAACTAACTGTTTTAGCATGTTAAGTCCACTAGTCCTAATAATGATAACAGCAAAACCCTTAAAATGGCAAATTGCTACTAGTCCTTATGACACCTTAACTATTGGGCAGTTTGACAAGGACTACAGGACTGCTGGTCTGTCTGTTACAGACTTGATTATTTACAGGTCCCTGTCGCAGAGCTGGAATATTGCTGTATGTAGCGTTAAAAACAACAAACCTAAAGGGGAATAACTTCAGTAACAAGATAGGAAATTAAGTTTGGACATTGATACTTCACAAATATAGCATTATCATTATTATAGTAGGTGTAAACATTAACACCATATATAGAAATTACATTACTAACAACATATCCAAAGCACATGAAGCATGGACAAACATTTTTGTCTAAATTAGGAACATATTTATCATATGCTAAAGTGCAAGGAAAGCACAGAAGAGCTGATGCATGATCACAAATAGCTGTCACTTTCACACACACCCTACTGTGTGGGAAACAATGCTATATATTATTTATTGGAGTTTCATGGGTAGAAGATGGAACATAACAGTTTGGGTGAATTATCCCTCATTCACACTTTGTGTGTTCTTTATCGATTCTCCAGCTGTGGCAATTCAATCAATCGCTGAGCAGAGTGCCATTCAGCAGATGTGCCGAACGAAAGTTCTGATCCATATCCTCTCCTGTCAATCGCTGATTCTGAGCAAGGCTTATCCTTATTGACTTTCTAAACGCAAAGATTCCACACCTCCTGTTTTTCTCCAATTGTGTCACGTTCACCCCACAACCCCTTGTGTTATAGTGCAGACGTATTTCCTTTATACCGAGCGAGAAATGTATGGCGAAGAAAAAGGCCAAGAAATGTGTCATTTAAATGGTGTATCGTAATGCCATATAGGCCTAATCACTCACGGAGTGGGCGGGCCAACTTTGTGGATCCACACTGATTAAACGTCAAAACAGAAACACGTAACCATCACATGTATCTCAGTATAATTACCTGTACAGCTCTGTTAATTGTTGTAGATGCAGATCCTGCAAACTTTTTAAATTTTTGGCTCATTGAACTTAAATCCATCCTGGTATATTGGCTATGTGACTCACAACATGAAACCTGTCGACGTCTCAGGCAAAGCTGTACTTCCGGGATGCCCGCACTAAATAAACCTTCGGGTACGAAAATATAATTGGTGATGTATTCAGATTCACACCAAGTACGCCTTCATGTGATCATGTTATGCGCCAACCTGCACATTTTATAGCATTATTATAATAACAACTTGATTACCGTCAGTGCGAGTCTGCTCTGATACCATGGTGATGTTTCAAAATGGCGGCCACCGTTTTCATCGTTCAGAAATAAAGGAAGAGAATTTCTCACGCTTTGCAGCTTTATGCGGATATTTCTTTGTGACATTTGTCTATTTTCAAAAACGATGATATCTTTGTTCAGGTGTGGTAACGATATTTGCACTTAGATCTAGCAATGTGTATTGTTGAACAAAATTAACTCACTCACTTTGAAAATATTGTCAACATTGATGTTTACGAAATCACGTGAAGTAGAATCACGGACATTAACTGGATTGACATTGTTAGTAAAACCCGTTGTAGAATCAATTTAAACCTCAACATGTCATTTCAACAACAAACCAACTAAGCCTATAAAAAATATGAAATACACCATAGTCCTACCAAATATTCATGCTTCACGTGAATGACAGTTAATGTACATGAAAAACATGAAATTCATCAAATGAATTTGGGTGAAAATCAAATAATCAATTGAAGCCAAATGGAGGAATGAAATTGAGTAGAACACCAAATACAGGTTGTTCACACTGATGATATACCCTGTGAACGTCTGGGTTAGCATTGGTCTTCAGCAACCCATGCTTGTCATAGGAGGTGATTACTGGGATCGGCTGGTCAGGCTTACTGACTTGGTTGATGATGTTGTCATATCCCAATTATGTAGATCAATGCTCATGATATCAATCACTAAATAGTCTGGCCCAGACTCAATTATTTACGGACTGCCAGCATATAGCTGAACTATTTCTGAGTGCACCTTTTTCAAACAACAAACAAACACACTGATATATATACATTTTATGATGTAACAATGGTGTTAAACAATTTCACTTTTACTGTCAGGCTGGTCGTGAGGTGATAAGGTGATGAGGAGAGCCTAGACAGCAATATGGGTACATTGTCGAGGATGCCAGGTCATGCTGACCTTGTTGTTGACGAGACTTCATGTGGCCCACTGTGTCAGCACCCTGCTTGCTGGGCATCCAATCAGAGACAAGAGAAGGGATTTCCAATCAAAAAGGAAAAACAACCATCAACACCTGGAAATGATCTCGGTAGGATAAAATGGAATTTTACATATGTTGAGTGCCGATCCATTGTAGGAATCAGATCCATGGGTGATTATTTCATCCATGTAACATTTATGAGTCAATTGTTGTATAATGTCATTTCAGTGATGAGGTCATTTTCGTATTGGGTTTAGAGTCGGATCTACATATAGCACCTTTTGTTCCGTGCTACTATATGGGTTTTCTTTAACAAACCAACTTACCGATAATTTCCTTTTTCAATCTTTTCAGAGTTGCCTACACAGGCAATCTACAACATTCTGGAGGACTTTGGGGAAGATCCCCATGATCGTTTCCCAGCAAAATGTAGTGGCCGGCCAGCACATGAGAGGGTGACATCTTCCCTACCAGCTCTGCCAACATCTGCCACACAAGCAAGGTAAACTTAAGATCAGGAAAGGTTACTAGTACCCATTATATGTTGTAGCAGTATGACAAGGGGTATATAGGTGGTTTTATGCATCCCACATTAGGTGTCATACCATAACCACATATACCTTATTCGACGTAATAAGCGCCCAGGCGTTCTCAAAATTAGAAATAGGGGGCTCTTATCAGAAAAAATGTTGGTGAAAGAGTTGAAAAATCATAAATTTTGTGGTTTATGCTGACAGCCTGAAATGATATAAAAGAAAAGTCTATGCGTATTATACACGACAGATATATTTTTGCATATAAGACACAGGTGCGTATTATACACGAATAAATAAGTCTTGTGTACAGTGATCAATCGGAAGGGTGCTAATTGGGATTGTTCACTGGCCAATATATAAGCAAATATCAGCGTTGATGCTTATTAGAGCGGGCTGCTTATTACGTCGACTACGGTACCTCGAGTGATACTGCTAAAAAATTCACATCTTGCCAACATATGTCAAAATTAAAAATTGACAGAAAACAGCTGTTTGAACGTGACCTTCAATGACTCGTGAACAACATTTCTCAAGATCATGTCAACCAATCAGACCTCATCATTCTAACATGAAGGTAAATTTGTAAACAAGATTTGGTTCCATGTGTATTTTAGTTCCAGCGGAACTTTTACTGCCAAATATTTGTTCCTTTGGAGGTGCATATCGCGTCAAATATTAGTTCCTGTCACACTACAATTCACCAGTATATTATTTCAGCTTGAAGACATGTGACCCAACCCCAGCCATCACCAGCAGCAGCCGTGAGTCTCTGGAGTCACAGAAGAAGTCGAGGATGCGGATGGTGGAGGTGCAAGAGGTGTTTGACGTCGACGACCTCAACAACCAGTGGGACGAGACCTTCCTCACCCGGCAGTATTATGTGTGGGTCCCAAACCCGAAAAAAGCTGGACGCAAGCAGAAGACGCTTGACCCACTTGATAAGTAAGTACTAAATGTAAAATGATGCAATCTCCCGATGTTATTGTAAATAAACTTTTGCTTATTAGCCACTTCATCAGGAGGTGATAGGGGCACGGGTGGACTATTCATCTACTGAACATTGCAGTTCGCTGTGACATGCCGCCTTTAAAGGGGAAGTGTAAACACAAAAATCGTGTTTTTTCTTATCTTAAACAAAATGCAATCTTGCAAATATACTGAACAACAAAAGTTCCTTTGACATTGAATAAGATTTAATGTAAAGTTATGTTTTTTACCAAATCTGAAACAATTTCGGATTGCATCAGATAAAAGACTCCTGTAAGTGTTCAAATGGTTTAATTTGCCATACTGACTTCAGAAAAATGCGTGATTTCATAAAAAAACATGAACATGCTAAAATGTCAATTTACAAATCAATAGCGTGTGTGTCCACCTCTGGTTGCGATGCAAGCAACACATCTTCGTCTGGAATGGACCATGCATCGCACAAAGTCCTGTGGGATATCTGTCCATATCTGCTGGAGCAAATTCCTGGTGTGTCTGTGGAACACATGGTTGACGCCGAAGGCGCCAATCGATCTCATCCCACATGTGCTCGATTGGTGAGAGATCAGGGGAGTGATCTGGCCAGGGGATGACATTCACGTTGTTTTGTTGAAGATCTTCCTGAACAAATCGAGCAATATGAGGCCGGGCGTTGTCATGTTGATAGGTAATGCCTGGGCCATGATGATGCAAAAACGGTAGATGATCTCGGAGCGCTGTCCATAGAGATTTCCCTCTACCACTATCAAAGGGGTCCTCTGTCTTGCTGTAATCCCTTCCCATACCATAACGCTGCCGCCCCCAAACCGAACTTCTTCCATGACACAATGATTGACGTAACGTTCACCTCGACTTCGGTACACTCGAATCCACCCATCGCTGTGGCTGAGGTGAAAACAAGACTCGTCAGTGAAAAGAATGTGTCCCTACTGCATGGCCGTCCAGTGTAGACGCTGTCTGCACCACTGTAGACGTGCTTGACAGTGGTTTCCTATCAAAATGGGACGTCTGGCAGGGTCTTCTGGCGACAATCCCTGCACATCTGAGGCGACGACGTACAGTTTGTGAAGATATTCGTCGAAGGCCAGGGATGCTTCTTGCAGTCACTGTTGCTGGCTGGAATCGATTTCGCAGGTGTGTTTGTTTGAATCCAGTTGTCTTGTCAATTATTGGTTATGCGTGGCCTGCCACTCTGAGGATGGTCTCTGACTGCATTCGTCTGTTGCCAACGTTGCCATAAACACCAAATGGTGTTTCTGTGGACGTTAAATTGTCTTGCAGCATCACGTTGACTCGATCCTGCTTCAAGCATTCCAATGGCTCGCAGACACTCATTTTGGGACAGGCGTGTCATTTCGTAATGTTGAATAATTGCGTAATTTTGTTGTTTTTCTGAGTGGTTGTTGTCAGCACTGTGCTGAACAATGCATATGTAATCCCGTTAACGCACATGTTTTTATACCCATTCTTGGGTAGTGAAATGCATGGGGCTTGCATAAAAGTCAACTTTTGCTTGGAATGCATGCTTTTCTGTAGCAGTTGCATTTTTGTGACTTGATTCCATATATGTACTACAATATTGAAAACCAAACTTTACTTGTTTGAAAAATAAACGAAAATATTGGTGTCACAGGAACTTTTGTTGTTGAGTATAGTTAATATCAAGATGCGGTTTTGTTGTTTTTTCTCCACTGCACCACAGACACTGGCTGCACCACATACTTTTCTAGACAAACAAAAGATCATGATCTCAGACAATCTTAGTTACTTGCTGTTTTCATGGAATTTTATGTCTTGCAAATGAAAAGATTTTGACCAAGTCCCTAAAAACATTGTTCCGATCTACCATCCAACCTGGCAACTTCCTGGCCTCACTCGACCTCCAGGATGCCTACTTACATGTCCCCATTGTTCCGGCACACCATCAGTATCTCTGGTTTATTTTCATGACCAGAGGAAAGTCCTTCTCTCCCCATCTTCCCGAGGCAAGTGAGTTAACTGACTATAAAAGTCCAGTTTCCACCCTTGCTGAACTAGGCTGGTATTATGGAGTTACATTTTGGCTGGACTAACGAGTCTATGCATAGTCCAATCAAAACCGCGCACCGAAATCGAAATCCAGTTCGTTAACTGTCATGCAGATTTCGGTCGACTGCAGGATTTGCAAAGCATGTGCACCGCTAACTCGTTGTCAACAGATATTTTCTAAATCTTTTCATGCTTTTAATCAAGGTGCTCACGTGATTTGATGCACTTCGCGACGTAAGACTCGTATTATCACAATATAGATCTTGATTATCAATCAGTTCGTCTTGACTGGGCGCCACCGTTTTGTTTGAAGCAAATGCAAGTGATACGAGAGGTTGAATCTGATTGGTCAATAGTAGAGGCATAGAAAGGACATAACTCGTAATAGCCACTGGTGGCGCTACGATCGAGCCCAGAAATTCCAGCCTAGTTCGGCAAGGTTGGAAACTGGACTTTTAAAGTCAGTTAACTCTCTTGCCTCGGGAAGATGTTCTCTCCCAGCCTTGCTTCAACCTCGCCTCCATTGATGGAGACTTGAGTCGAACGTCGAACTTCATTCCCCCTCACCACCTGTTCTTGGATGCATCGAGCGACAGGCTTCAAGATTCTGGAAGCCCCGTTTCTCCACTAGAACATCAACTGTCTGGAATTTCAAGCAGTTATACTTGCCATTCAGACGTGGGGGATGATGTTGCGTCATGATAGCGACGGACAATGTCTCGGTCACTCATTCCATTAACCAGCTGGAATCCACTCACTCACAAAGTCTCCCTGACTTCACGTTCACATTCTATTGTCTCATAGACAACATCCCCTTGGAGGTGAGAGCTCATCACATTCCAGGCATTTTCAAAATTCTCGCAGCCACCCTATCTTACCTCAGTGAGTCTGCCCCCAACGAGGTGGCATTTACACCCAGATATTTTCCAGACCTTCGGCCATGCAAATGTCGACTTGTTCAACACACATTACATCCACCAGCTTCAGACGTTTGTATCATGACTCACTCTTCATCGAGTGGGACGGCCTACACGTGTATGCGTTTCCACATCCGGTGCTCCTTCTTTGTGTTCACCAGAAGCTGTCATCCACAGGGAACAACCAGAGTTGTGGGACCTACGCGTGTGGTCCATTTGCAGAACACATTGACAGCTAGGGGTTAATCTACAGCGGCGGCTGTTGCTATTCATCAAACACACAACCTTTCTAGAGCCTTCTTGTATGATCAGAAATGGTTATCTTTTGAGGCTTATTGTTGTCAAAATGATAAGGGTCTAACTGTGGCTTCTACTCTGTTCATAGCTGATTGCTTAGTCTTTTTATGTGAGACAAAAAATTGTCAGGCAGTACCATTGCCAGTTATGTCTCATCCATTAACTTGGTCCTTGGCGCCTCCCGTCCTACTTGTATGGACACTCCTGAACTCGCCGCTATCCTACGGGGTTACAGTAAAGCAAATTAGCGATTAAAGTCTTGACCTCCGACCTGGGACTTAGGACTGGTTCTACATCACCTCCTTGTTTCTCCCTACAAACCTCTCGCCTTTTACACAGAAAACTGCCTTTCTCCTGTCCTAGGCCACTGCGGCATGTGTCAGTAAACACCACGCCCTCGACGTCACCCAAATCAAGTTTGACTACTGTCCATGTGTGGAGGTACATCTAGGCCTCATGTGGGACTTTATTGCCAAAAATCAATTGCCTGGTCAGGCAGATCCCACTTTCACTATTGCCCCTATGTCTAACATTTTGGGGTCTTGTGACACAGAGGACTTCTCATGTGCTACATGATTTTATTGACGTCACTTGTCGTTTTCGGCATCAACGTAAATGCCTTTTCCTCCTGACCACCGAAGAGGGTCGCTGGAATATCTCCAAGAATACCCTGTCATTTTGGTTACATTCCACCATTCTTCAGGTTTACACCCTGGTTTCGATCTGCCTAGAGCTTCCCATTCACATAATATTCAGGCATTGGCGTCCACAATGGCACTACACACAAACAGCTCTGTCACAGACATGGTCCGAGGTTGTTTTGGGCGAACCGACTCATCTTTCACCAACTTCTTCCTCCAAGATCTGTCCGCTGAGGATGTCGAGAGAGTCAACCAGCTGGGTCCACTCGTTTTCGCACAACAACTTGTTGCCCTTCCCTCCCCATTGACAAATAGGAACGGAGCGCCTGCCATTTTGGACACCCACACTAGTACGCCAGCATGTTTGTCCTTTCTTTCTATGGAATGATCGCATTAAACTTTGTACTGAGGGTACTACAGTTCCCGATATTTCGAGTAACTACAGTTGCATCGTAATTTCAGACCCAGCCTTATATGTAATCAGGCATAGTGCTGATGTAATACGGGACTAGTGAAGTTGAACACACCCATGGTTTGAAGACAAAGTGACAGTCTAGTCTAGTCCGTGCTGAGATATGCAGTTGATCCTAACGTCCTTACGTCCTACTGGGGGATAATTGCATACTGCTGTGGAGGGATAAGTTAAAAATTTTAGGGAATCAGAGTATTGCCCTTATTTTTATACTTATCCTGACACAACAGATTATGACTGCCCACCCATTCATCCCCTCAACATTTTTGGGGGGCACAGGTGGCCCAGTCGTCTAAGGCGCCATGACTCTCAGTGCAGAGTTGCGTCCCTTGGGCATACCAGAAACCTATGATCAAGGGTTCGAATCCAGGTTCACCCTGATTATGTTTCTAGGTTTGTCAGCACCATACCCGTGCTCGTGGGTTTCACCGAAATGGTAAACGTCTGAGACCTGCTTCACTCCGTGCTTTCCTCCCACATTAAGCTGAGACGCTGTGATATAACCGAAATACTGTTAAAAGCGGTGTTAAACGCAACTCACTCACTCACTCAACATTTAGATCAACTCGTCACCTGTTTAAGGGCGATCATTGGAAAAAGTGATCAGTAGTACAGGAGCATGCTGGGAGCGAGGTGGTCGGAGGGTGTGTTCCGGTGATTATTGTTTGACTATATTCTACACTGTTATGTGATCGTAGCAAGAAAGAATATTGCATACTGTTGTGTCAGTATATAAATAAGGGGAATACTGTGATTCCCTATTATTAGTTATATATGTTAATACATTGTAATATGAATCAGGAAATGTTTAGTTCCAAATTGGGAATTTTAATTGACATTTGCTGTAAACTTTTGGCTGAATATCGGCCTCTGAGAAGGTCTAGATAAATCCCTGTCCTACTTTAATTAATTCTACGTATTTCGATCAGGTGATGTTGATTCTTTATGTCCATATGTTTCAGTATGTCAATCAGTAAACTATCCAGTCAACCACAGCCGATTCCTTCTAAAGATGTCACTGAACAATTGATCCCAGAGCAGATGGAGAGAGAGAGAGAGGAAGCCAGAGTGGTGAGTGAGAGAGATCGAGAGACAAAATGTTCTCTGTTATTAGAAACTTTAAGTAAAGCACTAGACAAATATTTGATCAAGTCATTTTGATATTTTGAAGATAATGTGTGGTGTTAGATTTATATGTGGATAGTTAGTGATGTGATTTCTGAATATGACAATCCTTTCTTTTAATAATGTTAGCATACTGACTGTTCCAAAACTAGTTTGAGGGATTAACTGGGCATATTTTAACATACAGTATGCCTCATCTTTAACTCAGTGTTAGACTTTTAGCACTGTTCTTGTTTAGTGATTCCTGTCTTGGTGCTAGTAAATTCAGTCTGTTTCATGTAGCTCTGTAGAAATATGGTTCATCCAATAATGTTTCTAGGTTTGTCAGCACCATACCTGTGCCCTTTGGGTTTACCAAAATGGTAAACGTCTTAGACCTGCATCACTTCGGGCTTACCTCCCACATTAAGCTGACACGCCGCGATATAACTGGAATACTACTCTTAGCGGCATTAAACCAAACATACTCACTCACTGTAGAAATATTTAAACAATGGTTTACAGACTCATTTAGTGTAAGGATGAGTTTACTAGAAAATATACAAATTAAAACAAAACTGAAAGTGATATGTGTAATTGAAGAGAGGCTTTTTTTAAGTCATTTGATATTAATGTTATCTAAAGAATTTTTATTTTTTTTGGAAATTAACCACTTTTATATTATTTGAATTTCGGCACCCTGTTACAAGGAAATAGATTGATCTTGTCCTGCTCAATAATTTCCTTAAAAGGGTTATACATGATATAAGTACAGCTTCACTTTGAAATTGTAATCAATGTTTTATTTTATTCATGTTATGTAATTTAGAATGTAATATCTGATAGTTTTAGCAAAACTGTTTGATTTCTTTGTAATTTTTAATTTGTAGCCTGAAATATAAGTTGTGTTATAAAATTTTCAATATAAAAAATAATAGACAATGTCAGTACATGTATAATATAAGTTTTGCATTTAGGCGATTAATGTTTTTTTAGCTAGTTCACAGAATTATTTTTTTTGTACAATGTTCAACGTTTTCCTGTCTAATTGACTGCGCTACCAGATATGTCTTGAAAGGGCAGTAGCTCTGTCAAACTCTATGGTGAACTCATTGTTATGTATTTGGTATTTCGCAGTGAATCCTCTTTTCAACACAAACTAATCTGAAGGATATTTCATGTTAAAATATTCTTTTATCAGAAAAGTAATTTCAATTTTGTTTTTACTTTACTGTTTTTCATGTCGGCAGTTCTGTAAACCAACACAAAAGAAATAAGTTGCCTAATGTGCTGTGTGTGTAGTTAGCATGTATTATTCGGGATAGTTTGTATAGGATATTGTTTAAGAATAGACCGTGTATTGTTCTAATTTTTTACCTTCCAGTTTGATGGTTTCCCTGTTCTGAAGGTAGAGGGCACTTCAGTGTTAAACTGAAGCTCTAAGCTGCTTCTTCTCAAAAGTTCTTCTTACACTTTAGCTTCATCTATAACGACTGTCCCAAACTTACTAACGTCCTGTCATAGAGTCACGCATTGCTTCAACCAATTTTCTAGTTTCAGATGGCACACTTTCATAGTCGAGACATTTCAGATTGCACACCCAATGACATAACATTTTCTTTGCTTTTTCCCTGAAACAGTGCCCCATTGCGATCTCAGGGGAGAAGCTCCCATGAACCAGACAGTCAGGCAGGTGACCTATAGATATTGCCTGCCCATCTTCAAAGTTACCTGCCCGTATTCAGACATAATTAATATTGAATATTCCTAAAACAAGAGACAAATCGCATCTTGATTCAGTTGAAAAAATGCAAAAAATTAATTGAGATTCTATGTGGAGTAATAATAAAACTGAATGCGTAAGTACTCATAAAATTATCTGCCAGTTGGGCAGGCTGAGGACAATTTCATGCAGCCTGACAGAAATGTTGCCAGCCGTGGGCAGGCGGGCAGGCAGTTATTTCAGACAGTGCCGCTCTACCTGGTTATTGTTATTACAATTAACTCCCTGTGAGAATTGGTCCCCAGCAACTTCCGATGGTTGCAAGAGGTGGAGCAGGTGGTCAGGCTTTTTGACTTGTTGAGTGCCTCATCGTACCCTGACAACATGGATGGTCAGAGTGGACAAGCGGTCAAAAGCACCAGGCTAACAAGCACCACGTGCTGAAATCATATCCTGCTAGTGACCTGGTTGTTACAGACCGCTGCATATAGCTGGAATATTGCTGAGTGGAGTGTTAAACAAATAAACAAATAAAAAAACAAACAAACAAACAACAATGTTTACAGGTCTTTATAGTGTTGTCACTACCCCTACTGTACAATTCATTCACCCTGTGCGCTCAAAGGAACCCACTCATCTGATGGTAGATGACGAGATGGTGGAAACATGAATTACGTTCATTCACCCATAATACAAGTTTCAAAATGTATGGTGTCACCGTCAGCAATGGACTTAGTTCAAATGTCCTCTGTTCACCCAGCAGGGAATGGGTACCTGATATGTGAGATGGATGTAAAACCCAACTAGCGTCCATAGGCAGCTTGGGTTGTATAATCCCAGTGTTTGAGAATGATAACAGATCCACTAGTTGGGGAACAAATAACCATTTGAGCAGATACTAGTACCTGGATAAATGCGGTATATAAATGTATGATACAATATAATAACAATAATTGTTGCTAATGATATCAATCAGTGGATTGTCTGGACCATGTTTAGAGCTGTCATAGAGCTGGAATATTGTTTAGTGTTTTGTAAAACAACAAACATTATAGTGGACTAGTATGAGGATCTGATGGTTACAGGCTGATTGTGAATATAGGTGCTCATGATATCAACCACTGGTTTCCTTGGCTCTCAATTCTTATTCACATGACTGCTCAAATATTGTTGACTGCAGCATTAAACAACATTCATTCACTCACCATCTCATTCTACCAGGTACCCAGGCTCGTGGGGTAGCCTTGTGGATAAAGCTCGTCACATCGAAGTCCTGGGTTCGATTCCCCACTAAAGTACAATGTGTGAAGCCCATTTCTGGTGTCCACAGCTGTGATATTGCTGAAATATTGCTAAAAGCGGCGTAAAACCAAACTCACTCACTAACTACCAGGTACTGGGTGAACAGAGGCATATTTCAAACAAAGCTACTTGCTATATGTGTCCCATTGTGGGGCAGGACCAAAGTCCCTTAAACTCGCAGGAGTCAAGCTCCTGAATGCAGACAACCATCCAACTACTCTCGGCAACCAACATTAACTTCACCTGGTTTGTGGCCTGCGCGTTGTGCACAGGACCACAGGCCACCACAATAGCCTGATTTCATTAGCAAGGTTGAAGTCGCTACATATATCCCAAGTTTTCTATACCAAATGCAGCACTGGATATGTCCCAAGGCTCCTGTGTTTGTTTCCCTGTGGGGAGTTCTGGACAGAATATGTCCCAGGACTCCTGTGTTTGTTTCCCTGTGGGGAGTTCTGGACAGAATATGTCCCAGGACTCCTGTGTTTGTTTCCCTGTGGGGAGTTCTGGGCAGAATATGTCCCAAGGCTCCTGTGTTTGTTTCCCTGTGGGGAGTTTGGGGCAGAATATGTCCCAAGGCTCCTGTGTTTGTTTCCCTGTGGGGAGTTCTGGGCAGAATATGTCCCAAGGCTCCTGTGTTTGTTTCCCTGTGGGGAGTTCTGGACAGAATATGTCCCAGGACTCCTGTGTTTGTTTCCCTGTGGGGAGTTCTGGGCAGAATATGTCCCAGGACTCCTGTGTTTGTTTCCCTGTGGGGAGTTCTGGGCAGAATATGTCCCAAGGCTCCTGTGTTTGTTTCCCTGTGGGGAGTTTGGGGCAGAATATGTCCCAAGGCTCCTGTGTTTGTTTCCCTGTGGGGAGTTCTGGGCAGAATATGTCCCAGGACTCCTGTGTTTGTTTCCCTGTGGGGAATTCTGGGCAGAATATGTCCCAAGGCTCCTGTGTTTGTTTCCCTGTGGGGAGTTTGGGGCAGAATATGTCCCAAGGCTCCTGTGTTTGTTTCCCTGTGGGGAGTTCTGGGCAGAATATATCCCAGGACTCCTGTGTTTGTTTCCCTGTGGGGAGTTCTGGACAGAATATGTCCCAGGACTCCTGTGTTTGTTTCCCTGTGGGGAGTTCTGGGCAGAATATGTCCCAAGGCTCCTGTGTTTGTTTCCCTGTGGGGAGTTTGGGGCAGAACAGGTCCCAAGGATCCTGTGTTGTTTTCCGATGGGGAGTTTTGGGCAGAATGTCCCAAGTGTCCAATGTGATTGTCACACTAAATCTGAATTATTGTATGTCATCATGCCCATATGACAGGTATTGATGCTCATGCTATCAAGCACAATTTTGTTAATTATTCATATTGTTGACCGTAGCGTTCATATAATGGACGATGAACCAATTATCAATGGTGCCACCACGATGTATCCCAAACTGTTATCTACTTACATACATGCTTCCCTCTAACTGTCCTGCTCTGTAGCTGTTGTTGTTAACACATTTCATATCTTCAGCTGGAATAACCCTTTCTTGTTTGACCTTTATGCATATATAACTATATAATAATGTATCGTTGCTATTTTTGTATTTCCATATATGCTGTGTTTGTGTGATGAATGAGGTTTTTGAAAATCAGAATGAGCAGCACTTGAATATTCACATCATGATTTGAATATTATTAGGAGGTGTATTTTGAATGTTCTCATGTTGAGAGTTTGAACACCACACAGTGTTAAACAACAAACAAACCCAAGTCCTCAAATTGTATAACTGTCCTCATACAGTCCACAACACTCACTGTCCATGTAAATATGTTCAGATATTCAAGTTCCCTCCTCACAAAATCCTGTTGTAATAATAAATTCATTCCAGCAATGACTCTCCCGGGTGTACCTCTTGTCCTTGTACAAATAAAATTGACCAATGACACATGTAGCGCAGGTTTTGACGTCCCATCATGCACTCCTAAAAAACGAAACACCCCTAAATATTTTGTTCAGATCCCAGATTTGCATAATATTGTCACATGCTGTGGTATTTGATTAGCATTTGCAATTTTAACAAATGGTAGTACCAATACCAAATATGGATGTTACTAGGATATGATGTCACAGAAAATTGACCAATCAAAATCATTTACCTTTTTGACGAATTCTCGGTTCAGGTGCTATTCTTAAGATTACATACCACTTAAATTTATATTAAAATATGTGGTTTAATTTTATAAAACTGTTAGTAATCATTCTGAAAGCGTTATTTAGGATACTCTTTACGTTGGGTCCCCTTTTCATTTCTTATGCAAATTTGCGAGTACACCTTTATATACATGTGTATAACAGGTCCCTAATTAAATATGGCTATCAGGTATCCAGTGTACAGCAAGCTTACCAATAACCCCAGCTATGGTGGCTCTATGAGTGTTTTCAGAATTCTGATCTGGTTTATGAACATTGCTGCCAGTCTGTGCCAAAACCGTTCGAGACTACTTGCCCAAACTTAGCATTATATTCAGTACCAATACATTTTAGCCTTATTCTTTAGTCAAACAAACAAACAATTGTCCAGATAAACAAATCATCCAGAAGGGTCCCTGGTCCGACAGGGTTTGGAGTAATAAGATTTCACTGCTTATTGATTTCATTATATGAAGTGTATCCTGTCAGCCCTATAGGTTTCCTTTCTTAGATACAAGTTTCAGTATAAATTGCAGTTAAAGATAATATATTCCAAATGTGATACATGGTCCTAGTCCAGCATGAGTTGTCTCCCTTGATGTACCAACTGTCAGTGTGCAGTAAAATCCTTTACAAGCTGTTTTATGTTTTATATTTGTTTTATGAAATTCTTGCCACAGTTTTAACTGCTATGTAGCCTTAATAATTTTACACCAAAGTTTAAACGAAGCAAGATAATTTTGAGATATTTGTTTTTCAAATCGTCTTTACGTTCTTAAAAGTTTGAAAATTGAGGAGTCTCATATGATCTTTAATTTGAAATATTTCTGTTACAGTTTAGTCATCTTTATAGACTGTGAAAATATGTTACTTTTTTCATACAACTTAGATAAGTAACGTGACTAAAACACTTTATGACATCTGCCTCAGAAATGATGTTCTGAGACTGACTCTTGTATTTTCAGAAAAAGTATGCAAGTGCCCACTCAGGAGGCAGTCGTGGGACTGCGCTCAGTCGTGGCGGCGCCAGCAACCAGAGGTCTGCCAGACCCTATATAGATGCTGACAGGTATGTGGGCAGATTTTCTTAATGGTGTTCATTTGGTATTAGTTAACTTTGGCAGGTAATAATTAGCAGCCCTGCAGGACTGCGTTGAGGTTCTCTTGGAATTTGACCAACACTGTTAACTGCCAGTAATTTTTCTAATGACTACTGCACAAAGATTATTATTGATTTAAGAGAATATTTTTCCCATGGACATTCTTCAAAATGACCCTGTGGCAGTGTTTTGGCACCTGTCTGATAAATATAGGTCAAGGTCAAAGTCAAGGTCACAAGATAGAAATAAACTCACAAACAGTCTGTTGTTGCATTTTCTCAGAAAGTATTCATGCATTTGTCATTAAATTTGGTATATAACTTCTTTAGGATTGGGCCTTCCTTTGAATAGGTTTGATCAAGGTTAGTAAGAGGTCAAGGTCACAGTTCAGGTTTTTATAAAACATAATTATATCATTGTCAGTTTCTGAGCCATGGTGCTTCTATAGCCATGAATCTTTATAGTGGCATGTACCTTTACGCTTTCCACCACACCAAATGTTGGTGCTATGTCTGCCACAGGTCAAGGTGATCTTTGAGGTTATGGTGAAACAAGGTTGTATCATTTGTTGCCACTTACTGTTGCGCTTTTACTTGTACAGTCCTGATACTTGGCAGTTGTTAGATCTTAAGAAGTTGCCTTGATGAAGGTCAAGGCCTGAAAGTAATGTTCTTGTATTTTACAACAAGTACTTGCAAACACAACCAATGGAATGACTGGCATGAAGTTGATATTAGCAAATCAGAAGGTCGCTTTCTCATGCTTGACGGCACTTGTTTCAAACTGGTGACTATGCTTCGAAACATATTTTGACAAATTCTTGATTTTGAAAAAAACATTCTAGTCATAAAAGCAGTAACTGTTGTTTGAAATACCTTGTGTTAAATTTTTCAAGGTTGCATGATTAGAAAACACATTCAGGCTGTCACTTTCCTGATCTGGTAGGCGACTCTCTGATTGGTTGGATGAAGGGTCGTTCTGACGTGACCTGTAATGGGATGTCCTCAGATCTTTGTTTAGTGGTAGCGAGAACAGCGGTACAATCTGATTTTAATGAGATTGAGTGACAGTACTTTATCAGGATATGAAGCTACAGATGTGAGGACGAAGGGTGAGATGAAGCTGAGTCCATGGTTGTCTGCTTATTAGGAGATGAACACTGATAAATCTATTGTGTTTTCTTTGAGGCATTTTGAACGTAGATTTGATACCTGTAAATTTCAACCCGTGAAGTTCCGGGGTAGAATAGGTCTTCAGCAACCCACGCTGGCTGTAGAAGCCGATTATGCTTGTTGTAAGAGGTGACTAACGGGATCGAGTGGTCAGGCTCGCCGACTTAGTTGATGCATGTCATCATATCCCAGATTGATGCTCAAGATGTCCATCACTGGATTATCTGGTCATTTACAGACCGCCTTCATATAGCTGGAATATTGCTGAGTGCGGCGTTAGACAACAAACAAACAGACCTGTAAATTTCATTTGGAACAGATTGATCAATGTTAAGTTTATTCCTCTGAATATATCACAGTACTCTACACTTTCCACTCAAGGCCCTGAAAACCAAAGATCAGACAGCTGTGTAATTCTTGATGTACATGCAGCTCAAGTGGCACTGTTATGTAGAGTGTAGTGTAGGGCTCGGAGGAGTCCAAATTTACTATCCTGGTACCCAAGCTCCTATTAACGTACCCTACCAGGGTACCCGCTGTAGGTCTCAAGAGATGGGTACAAAATGTCCGACTGGGAATAGTTTGACTGTAGCCCTGGCAAAATGTATTTAGATGCACGTATAAAACAATCTGGGCATGCATACATGGAAGTTGCCTGAAGTTTTTTCTTTATTAAAACATATGAAAGTCAGAAAGAAATATGACTTCTTGGAGTTCTGCATAAATTTTCTCATTAAACAATATATCACGTGACTAACCACAGGCCCAGATTGTACTGTGGGTACCCAGGTCCTACTCAGGACCCACCCGCCCTGAGTACCCGAGTTTCCCGTCCCAGCGCTAGTGTAGTGGTTGGTGTACGTTATCAGGATAAGTCACACATGACCAACACCCATTGTGTCAGAGCCTTCAGCCGTGTTCTAGTTGTCAGGACTACTTTTTCCTTTGAGACATACCCATTATAACAGAAAGCTTGAATAAAGTCTTACAAAGGGAGACTACTTCTGTCTCCTTATTGCACAATCTACCACCCATCTCTATCAGGCATCTGTAATTACAGTGCTTCTCTTCGATTACAAAACTCAGGACAACGCAGGTGAACCCATGTTGACTGAGGTGTAATCTTGGTTGACCTGTAATTAGCATACATAAACTGCTTTATGTCCTACTTCCGTTGACCAAGGTTTCCTTTCCCTGCTGAAGCCTGGGGGTATGTTCTCTTGTTGGCAACCTCCAAGTGACGTCATCGTTAAGACTAATTAGTTTCATTTATTGATTCAATCATGAAGAAAAGCAGCAATAGAAACAAACAATTTTAGTCCACTAGTCCATATAATGATAACGTTAGGCAAAACCCTTAAAAAGGGCACATTTCTACTAGTCCTTATGATACCTTAACTATTGTGCAGTTTGGCAAGGACTATAGGACTAGTGCTAATTACTGTCGCTGAAAAGCATTTATAAGTATTATTAACTCTATATTGATAGTGTTATATGTATTCTGAAATGCTTCAGGGAATTTAACTTTCTTTGTTTCTTTAAATACTTTAGAATCAATAATGAAACTTTGATGATGATTTTGGATGTATGCATTTTTGGGAACTTTCTTGCCGTTTTACATGCATTGAATAGAAAAGGTACAATGTCAGCTTTGACAAGCATAGTTAACCTCTCCTAGTCGAGTGTCATAGCAATACACATGGCTGTTGTGTTTCTCCTTCTCCTGAGAGCCATTTTGTTTTATATCTAAGGTTCCAATTTATGCGTTTTATTTTGGGTACTGCCCTAAGTTAGCCTTGGTTAACACTGATGAATTCAGCTTGAATCTGGTCAACCCTAGTTGCAAGAAATGTGGTAACTTTAGTTGATTCAGGTCACTCAAATACAGCAATATATGTCTGTGTCATTAGTGATGACATGTCCAGACTTAGGCATCCCAGCGTTATAAGATGCTGAAATGTGTGGTGCAGGATTATTTTCTAAATGCCATGTTTGGCTCCATAACCGGAAAAAACAAAATAGATGTGTCCACCTGTACACACACACCTTCGGGTACTTTTTAAGTGACCCCTTAGTTGCTAAAGTACTGACCTGTTTGTTACTATAGTTACTGACCCATTAGTTGCTATAGTTACTGGCCCATTAGTTGCTATATGGTTACTAACCCCTTCTTTTCTATAGTTACTGACCCATAAGTTGCTAAAGTTACCAACCCATTAGTTGCAATAGTTACTGACCCATTCGTTGCTATATGGTTACTAACCCCTTCTTTTCTATAGTTTCTGACCCATAAGTTGCTAAAGTTACCAACCCATTAGTTGCTATAGTTACTGACCTGTTGGTTACTATAGTTACTCACCCATTAGTTGCTATAGTTACTGACCCATTCATTGCTATATATTTACTGATCCCCTTTGTTACTATAGTTACTGACACATTAGTTGCTATAGTTACCGACCCATTAGTTGCTATAGTTACTGACCCATTGGTTACTATAGTTAATGACCCATTAGTTACTATAGTCACTGACTCCATAGTGTTTACAATAGTAACTGACCCCTCAGTTGCTGTTGTTCCTGGGCCCTTAGTTACCATAGTTACTGATCACTTCCTCACACTGTTGCCATCTGTCTTGCAGCCTACAAGAACTCCTGGAGCTGCCAAGGGAAATTCTCATGACCGTTCTTGAACATGCTAAGGAAAGGTCAGTGCTTTCTTTTATTACTTTTCCTTTATTTGAAATGATTAAAATGTTTATGTTGTTGTACTGTTTTTTTCTCATGGAAGTACAGCCAGAGGAGTATCCTACGTAAGGGATGGTGGAACTTTGAGGACGAGACAGTTCTTTAAATCCTGCAGCCTCATTAATTAACTTCAGCAAGAAATTCTGCCAGCCGCAGGTTTCAATGCTTTCTCTTAAAAATGAAACACAACAACATATTTTGCACTAATAAGATGTCTCAGTATTAATTAATTCAGGCACAAATTCAGATATGTGAGCCAAAAACTATTTAACAGAAAGTTACATTGGAGTATCATATCCTGGTGAGCTGTTCTCACCCAAATGAAACAAACTGTTGTTTTACAAAAACAAAAAATATGTCTATTTAATAATTCTTACAAGAAAGTGGAATGTTGGGAAATGTCCTACTTTGAGTGGGGAATTGTCATGGCGAGCATTGTCCATGTGGGGAAATGTCCTACTTTGAGTGGGGAATTGTGATGGCAAGCATTGTCCATGTGGGGAAATGTCCGGAACCCATGGCGATATTTGCAGGTTTTGCCCGGACCTATGAAATACTATCAGTACCTGAAATAGTTTTTTCTCCCAACAAGACAGGCGGTTTGATGACTTATAAATGTAACTAGCCTTGAAAGTTGCAGTGATGGTTTTGTTTAAACATGCTAGAAAAGATCAATCGTGAACAAACAGCCCAAACCAGCAGCCTTTACATAATAAGCAATAACATCCTTCAAAAACAAACTGCAGTGACAACCACATCACCATTTTGGTAGAAGGAATTCATTGATTCTAACTCTTTTACGATTGGTTCGCACTCCAAGATCAATCAGGCGTTCATTTAATTTGTTGTAAACACAGAAGCTGATAACCAGGCATGTTAACGTGCCGTCACGTTTTGCTGTAAATATTGTTTAATAAAGTAAATCTACACTGACTGTCAAACTAAATACAGTAATAAGTGCTGAAGTTTTCTACCCGACAGTCGAACAGGTAGGAATAAATTTCATCTATCCCAACTGAAATGTTGCCAGCCATGGGGTTGCAGGCAGGCAGGCAGGCAGCTATTTCAGACACTGAATAACTTTTCTGGTTAAGGCATCCTCGATCAACCAGTGTGTTATATCTCCATTCTGTTATGATAAAAACCGTGGACCAGTTCATTTAGTGCCTGATTCTAGTAGCTCAAGGGCGGTCAGGTAGCCTAGTGGTTAAAGCGTTTGCTCGTCACGCCGAAGACCCGGGTTCGATTCCCGACATGGGTACAATGTGTGAAGCCCATTTCTGGTGTCCCCCGCCGTGATATTGCTGGAATATTGCTAAAAGCGGCGTAAAACCATACTCACTCACTCACTCTAGTAGCTCAATGATAAAAATAGCCATCCAATCAAATTACTCTCACAAGCAAAAGAAATTCTGTGTGAGATAGGGTGATGAAGGTGGTGATATCACTTCCAAGGCCAAGCTACAATAGCAGGTAGTTCCAGTGTATTTATCATAACATCTTCTTTCCTTAACTAACAATATGAACTGTAAAATTCCAGTTTCCACCCTTGTCAACTAGGCTGGAATTTCTGGGCACGATCGTAGCCACCAGTAGCTATTAAGACTTATGTCCCTACTATGTCCCTCCTTCTGACCAATCAGATTCCACCTCTCATATCACTTGCAGTTGCTTCAGAAGAAATGGTGGTGCTCAGTCAAGGCGATCTGATCAATAATCAAGATCCACATTGTTATAGATCGGGTCTTACTTCGCAAAGTGCATCAAATCACTTGAGCAACTTGAGCACCTTGATTAAATACATTTATTTATCATGGGTGTTGCTGGAGATGAGGGTTGGTTCAAGGAAGTCTGGGATGGGTCACACTAGTCAAAAACTAGTGTCCTACAGTCAAGACATGACCCTCCATCACAGCCAAGAACACCACCTTCAAAAATCCTTTTCAGACTGTGGTGGCCAATTATTCTTGTATTTTTCTTAGATTTTTTAAAAATATTTCCCATGGGTTAGTGACTGAAAAGTTGATATTGCTGTACTCCCATGGGATAGTTCTTAACAGACCATTCTAATCTAATGATGATATTATTTGAATATACCTGATGTAAACAAACTACAAAAGATGTCACTGTAGTACATTGTGAGCATACACACGCTCATGTCACCGCTCTTTTTGAGGAACTACTTTCTTCCGCGATACAGCTGTATGTTGTGTGGCCGTCTGACATTCTAATTATTATTGTGCGAATCTACATCTATCAAGGTAAAAAAACAGTGATATAAAAAATCTACTTTATTACTTCTTCATGTGTGATAAATATGACAATAGTAGACAATGTTAGAAATAACATTTACTATTTTACTCATGAATAGAATGTGGATACAATTTTCAACAGTATTGCTTCCCTAAGTAATCAAGTGGAAGTTGAATTCTGAATCTGTCCATGACTCCATCAATAAACAAAGAGTTTGAAACTAGCGTAATGGCATTTAATCAAGAAGCTAACCGTAAACTCTCCTATAACTTTAATTACAGACATACCAAAGCAGTCATTTTGCAATAACATGTCTGCTGATATTTCTGCTTATGTCATTTTTCTGGTTTACATTCATGATTCTGTAACCATGTTTGGGATTGTTTTGTTGCTGGGAAGTATCAGTATAATTAGGTAGTTGTGCTTGTTTTCAATAACCAGATTTTCTGAAATTACGTATCTTTAAACCATGTCCATCCAACAGATTCAGGTAGATATATATATATAGCATCTTGAAATGACAGGAGACGCAGGTGACCCAGTTGTCTGAGATGCCTCAATTTGCTGTCTCCCAGATTTGCCTTGATTTTTATTCTTGATTTGTCAGCATTATCCATGTGTGGGTTTCACCAAAGTGGTAACTGTCTGAGTCTGCATCACTTTGCCCTGACATTAAGCAGACATTTTGTGATATGATATTGTTCAATGTGCAGAGAAAGAAAAAGGGACAAAATAAAAAATCTTAAAAATGAGTTGTCAAATGCATCTGATGAAATCTGATGATGATGATGATGATGATGATGATGGGGAGGAGGAGGAGTTACTCTTTTCATGAAAAACAATATGTTCACATGATAGTGTTCAATGTATACAGAAAGATAAAGAAAACAAACAAAAATTAATTAGACTATCAAACCATTCATTTACATGTCCGAATAAAATCGGATATGAGTAAAGCTTTCAGAGTGGTATGACAATCAGGCACTGCATTTTAGCCTACACAAGAATGATTGCACAACAATCAATTACTTTCCACACCACTCAAACTTGATACGTGACATTAAACATAATGTCGCTGTCAGGAAAATCAATAAGCATTGTGCTGACAATAGATGCTGTCTTGCATAGTTTTAAATTTGAATGGTTCAATGTAAGTAGAGTCTCTAAATACAAAAAACAAAGTGATTATTTGTGATTTGCTTTGTTGCTCACCTTGACTGAAATTCAGGTGAGCTAACATATGTCCTGTTATGTTTGCGTAGAGAGTTGGGAATCCCTATGCCCACTAACTGTTCACAGGTAATTCAGGCCAACCTATTTACAGATCACAGGTAATTTTTGCACCCGTTTCACAATCATGGATAATTATCGTGTAAATTGGTTCATATTTCATAAAGATAAGAAATGATTCATTCTTACTTGTCAATCTGATAGTGACTTAAACCATATCTTTGTCAAGTTTATGTTTTTGCATGTATAAACTACGACTGCACCTCGTATTCTTGCAACATGTAAACTTGGTAAGGAACTTGTCAGACAGACCATCTCAGGGGTTTCTTGATACTTTTAGCCTGTTCCCCAATTTACTATATAGTATTCCCTGTATCGATATGAAAATGATAACAAATAATCACACTTCTTGGGAGAAAAAAGACGTTAAAGATATTGGGAAATTCACAATAACACGACTGTTGAGAAATAACTCATGAAAGCTAATTCTTTACTTGCAATATCGAATCACAGCAAATTAAAAGAGCCATTAACATATAACGAAATAGGTATTCCCTACCCGCTGTGTAAGTGCCCCAGGGGGAGTCGATTTTTGGGCTCTTTTGTCATATCATAAGATTTCTGTATAATGGAGTTTGAGGTTAGTGTGGATTTCAGTATTAGCTTCAGTCTGTCTTGAAAATTAAAAAAGTCCAATTGGCTGCCCTGCCTGGCATGATTTGACATTTGAACTTTACCCTCAAGCTATTTCCCCCTGATATGATCCCTTGTATATACTTGGTTGCTGTTGTTTAACGCTGCATTCAGCAATATTCCAGCTTTATGACGGCGGTCTGTAAATAATCGAGCCTGGACAAGACAATCCAGGTACTGATATCACGAGCATCGATCCATGCAATTGGGATCCATGATATGCATCAACCAAGTCAGCGAGCCTGACCACCCGATCCTGTTAGTTGCCTCTTACGACGGGCATATTCGCCTTTTACGACAAGCATTACTGTACTATACAGTGAAAAACATCAGGACCTGTATCAGGAGTTGGGTTTAACGCCGCTTTTATCAGTAGTCCAGTTATATCACGGCATGTCGGCTTAATGTGGGAGGAAAGCCCGAAGTGATGCAGGTCTCAGACATTTACCACTTTGGTGAAATCCACGAGCACAGGTATGGTGCTGACAAACCTAGAAACAGAATCAGGGCAATCCAGGATTTGAACCCACAATCATAGGTTTCTGGTGTGCCCAAGGGACGCAACTCTGCACAGCGAATCGTGGCGCCTTTAACGACTTGGCCACCCGTGCCCCCTCCCACCGTGACATGTTTATGAAACAGGTGATCTCTTCATTTGAGCCAAGCCTTGGAGTTTTTCCACTTTTATTAACTCGTGTTGATATTTTTTATATCAAAAGACAAGAGGGTGAGATTCTCTATATCTAAAACAAAACTTTGTAATTGAGTCAATAAAACTGCTCAT